ATCCAGGTTTGGATGCTATCGAGGTGTTTCTGTAGTCTGGCTCGTATAATTAATTGGTCTGTGTCGAGCTGTGGTTGTGATTACGGTGTCATCAGCGTATGCTTGAAGAGTGGATTCTCTACTTCTCGGTACTTATATCTGCAATGAAAAAATTGAACAGAAAGGTGCTGAGAGGTTTGGGCTACGCCGGCAAGTACTGGTCTGGCCGTGGATCGTGCTTGGTTGGTGGTGTTGTTGTCCAGGGTGACGCAGGAGTTCCGGTTTGATAGAAACGAGTCAATTAGTCACTTGGTAATGAGGTATATTGTATCTTAGCATCTTTAGAATAAGACCTTGATGCCACATATTGTCGAAGGCTTTTGACATATCTAAGATATCTAGGAGTACTGCCCCAGTCTCCATTCTGCGGTTAGCGCCTTTTAAAACGGTTTAGGCTAGTTGGGTAGCTAGATCGGATGTGGAATGCTGTGCTCTGAAACCCATCTGCTCGTCTGATAGCAGTCGCAGGTGAGAGAGCGTGTCCTGTAAATCTATATTGAAGAGTCGTGCTGCCACTTTGCCAAGGGCAGGCAGGAGGCTGATTGGGCGATAGCTACTAGGGTTGCTACTAGATTCGACTTGTTTCCTTATAAGAATGATATTGTCTTTTTTCTATTTTGATGGGAAATGGGAGAGTGGCTTGGATCTTGATCAGGTCCTCAATCTGTTACTGTGGTAGTTTTTTAATGGCCAGGTTGGAGATTTGGTCTATACTGGAGGCTTTTCTGCGCTTGAGACATGCTATGGGGTGTGCCTCTGGCTGTTCTAGCATCATCTTAATGGTGGTGTCTTCGTTGCGGTCTTGTGGGGGTATAACGGAGGATTGTTCCGAAATTGTTCATCTTTGAGATTATCCCCAAAGGTTTCCGCTTTCAGGACTGGATCGGTTATTGTAGTGTTGTTAACCTTAAGGTGAGCTGTGCTTTTCCATGGTCCTTTTATAAGACTCTTTGCAAGTTGGAAAAGATCTTTCCAGTTGAGAGGACTGCCTCTAGTTTCTCTTGCCAGGATTCATTGTAGCAGTCGTTAACTTGACTCTGAATACTTCTGTTAAATAGGTTGACTTGATTTTTTAAGTATGGTACCTGTGCGGATCTGGAGGGAGTCTGCGTTTCTGTACGGTCAGGTGGACCGATGTTCGAGCTGATAGCTTTACAGATGTTGCTAGTTAATGGATTTCATCCATAGCATTGTCTAGCTCTTGCGGGGAATGGATGTTGCCAATCGGAGTTTTTCTTTCCAGGTAGTTTTGGAAAGCTGTCCAATTTGTGAAGGTTTTCGGCTTTCCCGATGGGTTTTGGTCGGCTCGTCTGCCGAATTCAACCATGACCGGTAGATGGTCGGAAGTGGTGATGTAGGACTTGTGTATGAGTGATAGGGTGGACGTTTTTATAAAAGGAAAAGTCCAGAATGCTAGGTCTGCCGTTGCCTATGCGGGTGGGTTTGTCTGGACGCCAGATGTTATATTCCAGACGCTCAGCATTATCTTGTAACGATATTCCCCTTTGGTTGGCAGTAGTAGTGTATATCCAGTGTTTAGGGTTGAAATCACTTCCCAACAAAACTGGCTGGTCGTGGTAGCTGATTAGGGGATCCAGCTGGTCGGCGGTGATTGCGTAGTTTAGCTGGATGTATATGGAGCCGACAACCAATGTTTGGTCTTGTATAGGTATTGCCACCAAGGTACCATCAATCTGATAACTCGGATTTGGGATTTCGTAGTGACGAATATCGGTTTTGACAGCAATTAGGGTGACCCCGCCTTTGCCATCTCTGTCCGTCTGCTGCGTGTATCTGTGCTCTGATATGAGCATAGATTCTTGTAGTAGCAGAATGTCTATTTGCTGTTGTTCTAGAAATATTTGCAGTTCTAGATTTTTGGTTTTCACTGAGTTGGCGTTTCAGGTCATTATCTTCAGGAATTTGGCTTTGGGTTGTTCAGCCATGCAGCGTTGTTTTCTTGAAGTTTATCATGGCGTTCAAGATTCAACATCTGTTTCATGATAGATTCCAGAGTGTGTTGTTGTTAATGAATGACGGTGAGCGTCATCTTTTTCTATTGACCGCAGACAATGTTTGACGGAGGGGCGGGCTTGAATTGCTGCTTGTTCTGGTGCTTTCTATGTTTGACGCACCCTTGGTATGAGGCTGGGTGCTCACCGCCACAGTTAGCGCAGGTGGCAGTTGATTCACGTGGTTTTGTGCAGGTTTCTGAACGGTGCTCTACTGCACACTTAACACACTTTGGCACCTTGATTGGGCGTGGCCAAACAATTGACAACGATGGCACTGAGTGGACTTGTTCTGTGACTTCTGGGTCCCGACTCTCGCTTTAACTTTATTGATATGACGGATTTGGTAGATTCCTGTCTTCGAAGCTGGCACTAGGATAAGTACTAGCGGGACCGGGTCACCGTTGGCTTTGTACCACCTGATCACATAAAGGTCAGGGACTCGTTTTCGCTCGATTCCATGTCCGAGTGATTGCCTATCTCCTGGTTCAGCTGCTTAACCAGTTTGGAGAGTCGCTGCATCTCTGCGGTCTTGACATCGTCTGTTGTTTTTAAGGCACTGGCGGTGAGTTTCAGCTTCTGATTTTCTGTTTTGACAACATAAAGCTCTTGGCGGAGTGTGACGCTGTCTCTCTGAACATCATCAAGCTATTGGCGGAGTGTGGCATTGTCTCTCTGTACTGACAGAAGCTCCTGTTTCACTGCTTCGTTCTCATCTCTCAGCCCTTGGATTCACTGTGAGATTCTGGCTTGCCACTCGTCCAGGCTCTGAGGCGACTGGGACATCTTGGCGTACTGGTCAATTCACTCACTTTCACATTGAACTATAACTCACTGATTCGCAATTAAACTTGGAAAAACTAGCAGAGTGCTTGGTACACTAAAAACGGGTAACGATTTTTCTTCTACAACTAACTTGAAAAAGACTGTTGCCTCAGCGAATGCAAGCACTCAAAATGGTGAATATTCGGTCGTCACTTTTGTGATATTCATACGAAACATCTTACATGGAACAGGTTCATAATAATCCTAAATTATTTATATTTTATGTCGTATAATTACATCAAGTTATATGAACTTTTGGCGTCCTCTATGAACCGCACAAGGTTCGACCAATGATGGCTTTGACGGCATATCCAAATTTTTGAAAAATCAATCGGAGATACATTTGCCATTAGAGAAGGGCCTTCCTTTGATAATTTTTATATTCTATTCCAGGCTTTTGACTGTTATCCTTGATTCTTCTGTAGAAAGAAATTTGAATGGAAATAGAAATTCAAGAGCCTGGAATAGTTGAAAATTGAGACTAAGAAGAAGAGAAATAGAGACAAAAATTTAAAGCAAATCTGATCATTTTTCTGTTGTATTCCATGATTTTGATGATTTCTTGATTTATTTATGAGAAGAAATTTTATTCCTGGCTTTTGATTGTTCCTTGATTCTTCTGTGAAAAGAGATTTGGATGGAAACAGAAATTCAATAGCCTGGGATAGTTGAAAATTGAAACTAAAGAGAAGAGAAATAGAGACAAGAATTTTAAGGAAATCTGATCATTTTTCTTTTCTATTCCAGGATTTTGACGGTTTCTTGATTCATTTATTGTTTTTTGACTGTTCCTTATAATGAAAACATACACAGAATTCATTTTGGAAGAAAGAGCCAGTGAGGTAAAAATTAAAAAACAAATCAAAAGCCTGAAAATTGAACAAGCTTAACGTCTCCAAACGCAATTTACAATCTACAACCCGGAGAGTCTTCCTCGAGTCATATGGCAATAATTATAATCAGGAAAGAAATATTATGCAAAACATTAGGCGAGCATAGCATAATATACGTTTTCCTGGTCCGTTGGAACTAATTGTATATCATTACATTGTATTGTTTATTGTAAATTAGCCAATTCTCATGCTGGATGTGGATGTATCATTGGACATCAAGAGCGGATTACTTTTCAATGAGTTTTCGCTGAATAGTATACGAACAAAGATAAGAAATAGTGTCATAAAACCTTTCATAAGCCTCATTCAAACTGAGAGCATCTGTACGAATATTCTATCAATTTCTCAATGGTCAATAACAGACAAATATCCAAACATCGACAATTATAATACCATATAGACAAAGTCAATCAAAATGTTATTCAACCAACATACCAGACATAAATCAACATAACATTGTTTAAAGATTAATTGATATTTTAGTTATCTTGTTAATTTATTTTTTTTATGGTAAATACCCAGTCATTATCCGGTCCATGTAAATGTCGGGCAAAGAGACCGATACTTCACCCGTTTGTAGTTTCATGTTTTATTGTCATTAGATAACGCCCGTTAATTAGTTTTCCGCGTGATTCGGGATACTTAATTAAAGAAAAAAAAAAATAGGAGCGTTATCTTAGGTTAGTCACATTCATTGTGTATGTTGAATTACATTAGAAAAAAAAAATAGTTGAAATCTTGAACAAAAGATGTCAAGCTGGAATGATTTGAATAAGATTATAATATTGTAATGAGGTATAAAAAAAATTATTTTTTGGCTAACTGATTACATATTGTGATACCTAATGGTTCCTTTTGTTAAAACAATATTCTATTGGCTCTACGACCTTTTTAGTTTAAAATATTTAAATAATATTTGCTCTGCTTTATTTTATTTAAATAGTAAATTATCGAGTCAGTGTTACATTTTTTGGACTAAAGTGAGATTTGCTAATTGAATTTTTACTAATGAAAGGGGCAATCTAACTCTAACTGAAGGACAACGTGACCTTAGCAATGTTTATCGTATTTGTTTTTATTTAATTAATGTTTTTAAATTTTATATTTATTTTGTCTTTGTTACATGCATCATTATAATTTTTTATATATATATATATATATATATATATATATATATTTTATATTATTTTAGTTTGTACTTTCATCAGATAATAATTATTAATTGACTTACCAAGTGCCTTTTCAGCAACTTGCCCTCCACATATCATGACACAAAACAGAACTCCAAAAAACACTTTTAAGTCCATGATGATTTTTGCAATATTTTCTTAATTAAAAAATGTATGAAGTGTTATAAAATAATTAAAAAAATAATATTCAAAAATTTATCAAACACCGCGTATATCGAGTCGTACTACTAGTAATAAGTCTACTACTCGGTACCACACTTTGTTCGATCGCTGCTGCGAACAGACTCCCGGTATCGAAGCACTTTCTACAAGATTTAAAACACCCGTGGTGGTTCGGTTGCAGGCTCAAGAACTACCTCGTTTAAGTAGTTGCATATTCGTTGTAGTTCAGCAAACGACTGTCCGTAAATCATTATTTACCACTGAGAATTTTAGTTAATTATGAGGCTTACATATAAAATTATAGGTATCTTTGAATTGCAATAATGTTATCATATTTATCATTAAGGGATTTATGAGTATGATTCTTCACATTGATTTGCTGTTTTTGTAGTAAAGTATAGAGTAGTCATATTAGTACTTATATGGCATGAATCATATTTGACTCATTGGAGTGAGGTGTTCGGAAGTTAGAGAACAAATTGAACAAAATCTTAGTTAGAAGATGCTCCAAGTTAGAACAAGAAGATATGACAGGGATAGCTGGAGAAAATGACATCTATAAGCAGCTCTTCATTTAGGAGTGGATAAATACAGGCTGGAGAAGAATTGACGCACAAAGGAAGAGGTGGAGAATGGTGGTTTAGCTGATTAATTGATTCTTGGTTTGTCTTGTCATGTTTGTCAGTTGACGTATTGAAAATGCGCGTTATTCATTCTGTTTTGAAAATGAAATGTTTACAAACGTTGAATATGCAGATACTTGTTTAGGCAGAAATCGTATGCGAAATGCTCATTTCGCCGCCAGAATTTACAAGGGAAAAATTTCCTAATAAAATGGCACCGACTACATAATTAAAGAACATTGTGCCCGTTTCACAAAGATTGTGTGATACGGGAGGTGTGAGTGTGCAAATCTGCGTGTTTATTTTAGTGTTTTGAGAACCTTTTAACAAAAATTAAAATTTTTATAATAAGGTTTGGCAAGTAGCTGAGTAAGTATTATTTAATTTTTCTTTTGGATGTTTAGTGCAAAAATGTCATTGAGTGCAAACTTGATAAAACGGCACATTTTTCATTTTTTATTTTTCTAAATTTAAATTCTGCTATAGCTCAGAAAATACTAACAATTGACCAGTGGTTAATAGGACAGTTTAACTTGAAATGGGCTATATTATCACATGTTAAAATATTTGTACTCATACCTGATACACTCTGTATAGAAAACTTTGTCAAGTTACTTCAATCCATTGTCATTAATCTCATCTTTTTATATGTTTTAAAACCAAACCAACCTCCGTATTCCGTAGAAATACCATCCAACTTTTAAAAGGATATCATTGGAACAGACCTATTGAAAAATTGAAAAAACAACATGACAATTTTACTCGTAATTCAGTATCTAAACATCTGGCAACATAGCAGAAAAAAGAATAGGTGGTTTGATTGATCTTGATTTGTCTCATCATGTCAGTTAGTTGAAGTATTGAAAACGCGCGTTATTCATTCTTTTTTGAAAATAAAATGTTTACAAACGTCAAATATGCAGATACTTACTCATTTAGGCAGAATCGTTGCATTGTGCCCGTTTTACAAAGATTGCGTGATACGGGAGGTGTGAGTGTGCAAAATCTGCGTGTCTATTTTAGTGTTTTGAGAAACTTTTAACAAAAATTAAAATTTTCATAATAAGGATTTGGCAAGTAGCTTAGTAGGTATTATTTAATTTTTCCCTTGAATGTTTAGTGCAAAAATGTGCGAACTTGATAAAACGGCACATTTTTTATTTTCACAAGAAAAGTGATAAGAATTCAAGCTAATAGCCTTGTTCCAACCCAGCAGGCAACCGTAATATTACCGTCAGGATTCTGCGCAAAACTTAAAATTTTTGCGTAGAAGCCGAAATCCGTATTTACGGTTTACGATTTTTTGACGGGTTGGAACAAACCTAATATTTACATTATTTGAAAGCGAATAACAAACCTAAACGTAAATAGGTGGGAATAAATAAACTCCTTGCAAATGAAAAAACCTTTTAAATTTACCAGTTTTATTTACATTTATATCCTGCAGAGATAATATCTGTACAATGTTGTCACGTTGTTAACATTTTTCTAAATTTAAATTCTGTGAAAACTCCGAAAATACTAACAATTGACCCATGGTTAATAGGACAATAATTTTAGCTTGGAGTGAGCTATATTATCTCATGTTAAAATACTTGTACACATACCTGATAGAAAACTCTTTCAACTTACTTCAATCAATTGCCATTAATCTCCTCTTTTCGTAAGTTTTAAAACCAAACCAACCTCCGTAGAAATACCACCTAAATTTTAAAAGGATATAATTAAATGATGTTAAAGGTAATTCTTGTTTCAGTTGTCGGAATCCAGGTTGGCTTAGGAAGAAAAGAATTGGCATCCAAGCTTATTCCGCCCCTCGAGCATTCCAGGGATGATATGATCAAAACATACTTACCTATAATTTTTAGAAATTCTTCAGTTCTTGAATGAGAATCCTATCAATCGATCAACTGAAGCAGCCAAAAGAAGGGCAAAATAGATCTATGCAGGTCGCTGTGTAACAAAACCGCAGTTTATTTATTGATTCTTACGCCTACTGCTGAATATTGTCGCTTTCCCATTTTCTTGAGTCACATATTTTTTGACAATCTTGAAATGAAGAATTCTTATGGCAAAAGAATACTGTTGTTATAATTCAATATAGCGATTGTCATTAGATCAATAATACTCTTATTCGGGTTTTGGATTTTCAAATTCGTTATACTTTCACGTAATGTCGAATGGAATCTTTCGATTGGACTATTCGAGTTCGGGTTTCTTGGAGTTGTGTAATGAAACTCAATTTTGTATAATGTACAAAGATCTGTCATTATAGCATTTTTGAACTCTGCTCCATTATCTAATGTGATTTTTTGAGGTATCAAGAACGATCTTTCAGTAGGATTGACGCTAATGGATTTCGTGCGGCACGTGACCACATTAGAGGTAACATAACCTAAAAATTAGTGTATTTTTGAAATTGCGCCGTCTAGTCTTCCTAATCCTTTAAAAAATTGTTTCTAATTCAAATATAATTCATTTTGTAGGATAGTATATGTAGACTAAGGTCAAAATACCCTCGTATTGTGCTGTTGAAATATGTAAAAATAATGCCGCCGAATATACAGTATGAACGTGAATAAATGTCTTAATAAATTATCAAACAGTAAATCAAACAAAAATATAACTAAAACGCCAAAAAAATATCATGACACTCCAACTCCATATAAACAAAAAGGATAAGGTTAGGTTTTCTTACCTCCAGTGTCAATTTAGTGACGTCACGTACACGAAACCAATACGTATGTTATTATAATATATGATGATTTGTATGAAATACATCTCTCTATTTATAAAAGAATTAAACACTAGAGTGTCGTCTTGAAGATTATGTTGAGAAGCACATGAACTATCATCTCCAGCCCGAATATTAAATCAAATCAATGGTTTGGCAAATCCAACTACATTTTTCAAGAATTAAAGTCCAGTGTGCTGGACTATAGTATTGGCAAAGTGTCGCCTATACCTTCAGAATTCAACCTATAATTCATATTGGTTTATTGCTATCCGCTTCACCGATTACATGCACGCACGGGTTCATGCACCCGCTGGTATGGGCCGAGTGGGCATCTCTTTTGCATCTCGGCCTTTTTAACGTTCTCTCTGCTTGCATTTTCCGAGGTATAGAGTCAAGTGGAAGCAAGATTTTCGAACTGAATCAAAGAGAGATTACTGAAAGAACTATTATGAGCTTTCACAAGTTGTCCCATGTTTTGTAATTGTAATTTGTATTTCACGTCGTGTAATAAGCAAAGTACCTAATTGATTATATTTCATGAACTTAACCTCATAAGTTGTATATCATGAATTACTTACTGAAGGCTGGCTAAACTTTTTAGTAATGTATCACAAAGAATTGAACTGAGGTAAAATCCAGTAAAACCTTGGAGGCAATTTGAAATGAAAATTTACAAACATATCTGCTCCTATAGCGTAATTGGATGGGTCTGTCGTCAACACAAAAGGTTTTTCAAAGTCAGGATGCTGTAGTATTGGATCATTCATTAACATATTTTTACAAGTTTCAAAACTCTTCATAAATTCTGTGCTATTTATTATTTTTCTGTCTTTTTTCAAGCAATTTGTCAGAACTTTTGTTAACTTTGCAAAACTCTTTATAAATTTACGGTAGTACCCTATACCAATCCTAAAAATGATTTTATTTCTTTTATAGTTTTAGGTATAGGAAATTTTTTAATTGCTGATATTTTATTTGGATTTGGTTTTATACTTAACATGTCCTAGAAATTCTACAGTTTTTCGTAAAAATTCCGATTTATCTAATTGAATATTTAGATTATACTGATCTAATCTTTTAAAGACTCTCTGTAAGTTTTTAATGTGTTCGTGTAGAGATGTTGAAAATATAATTATTATGTCATCCATATATGCCAAGAATATTTCATTTTGTAATCCAAACAATACATTGTCCATTGCTCTTTGAAATGTTGCTGGTGCGTTTTTCGAACCAAATGGCATTCTTCGAAATTCAAAATGGCCATTTTCAACATTAAAAGCCGTTTTCAATATAGAATCAGGATTCATTTCTACTTGATGAAATCCTGAAGCCAGGTCTAAGGTTGTAAAGTAATTACTGTGACCTAATTTGTCTAGTATATCTGTGATGTTTAGTAAAGGAAACCTATCATCAATTGTCTTTTCATTAAGTTTTCTATAGTCTACCACCATTCTCCATTTTTGAATACCGGAGGCATCTTTCTTTTTTGGTAGTATCTAAACTAGGGATGACCAAGGACTGCATGATGATCTAATTATATCATCTTCTAACATTTTTTTGATTTGTTTGTTAACTTCCATTTTATGAATATAGGGGTGTATTTGTATGAATTGGAATTTCATCTATAGTCTTAATCTGATGTTCCACTTGATGTGTAAATGTCAATTTATCATCAGGTTGATAAAAGATTTTTGGAAAAGGGTGTATAACAACTTTTAGTGCAGCAAGCTCTTCTGTATTTAAATGATTAGTATGCAAAAGATCTAAA